CTGCTGCTGCCGTTGTTGCTGCTGCTGCTGTTGCACCTGCAATATAAAGCCATCCCTTAGTAGAACCAAATCCCACCTCCCCTCCCTGTGCACTTATTGCAGAGGGCTGCACGCTCCCTGCTTTAGGTGCGAGAGCGGACAGACTGCACTCAACAGATCTATGACCAGGCTGTCTGCAGTCTGGGCCCCCCGCAGAGGACAGGTGCCGGGAGTCTTGGTTGGAAAAGTTGGCTGCCTTTTCAAAATACACTGCAGAGGGGGGCTGGAGAGGAGGAAGAAGGCACCGACAAATTGGAGGCCCCCCCGTGAATGGGTTCTTGTGCTTCTTCTATGACTTGAGGAAGTTTTCCTCTGAGCTCTAAGTGGCCTAATCTTCATTGATTACAATGAAGAAGGCATGTTGGAGCAGGAGGGGAGAACCAAAATCATAGGGCTAAGGAGATCTTGGATGCAAACTCACTGACTTCAGTGGAGTTTCACCACGGCTCCTCTTGGCCCCCTCAGGTTTTGCAATGTTAAGCCTTTACAGCTACAGCTGGGTGAGGCTACAAATGAACACCTCTGGGCAGGAGAAATGATGCACTTGATGCTAATGGCAGCAGGAGACAGCGCTAGGAGGCCAGAGATGAATTTGCGCTCACTAGTAAGGGATTAAGTGGAGGAGGAAGAGGCGCTAGCTTCCTGCCTGGTACAGCTCCACAGATGTCGGCAGGAGCTGCCCTGGGGGTGACTTTGGCCCTGAACAAGATGAGTCACAATAACCGCAGCAAGTGAGAAACCCAAGGAGGTAGCAACCTGGGAAGGGGTGACACAAGGTTCCCTGAGGAAGTGCCGCGGTGACGGTAAGTGAGAGCTGCAGTAGCGTTTCGAGCCCCCCGGGCCTTGCTGTTGAGGCTTCTTGGCCACGGCTTGCCTAGCTGCCCCCGTCTGCTGCTGCTGAGCTGCCGTCCGTGGGCTCGGCTGCTGCGCATTGTTGAACACCAAGGGCATGGGCTGCTGCATCAACATCTTTAAGGAAAAGAGAGAAGGGAATTGTTACTGCAGTTTGCACACTGGATTGTTTAATGATCTGCCCGAGTGCCCCACAGTGAGCTCTAATGCGATGAGCAATACTGCTTCTGCAAAACAAAATGTTCCCCAGGGACCTATTAAGCATATAAATTGTGCTGAGTTCCATTCATCCGATAAAACAAGATTATCTGGCACAGTAATGAGATACAGAGGGTTTCGCCACTGCTTTACTAGCCCCAGTGCAGCTAAAGTCAGTGGAAAGTGAAAATCATTAGACCCTGCTGGCTTTTTAAAGAGCTTGGGACTCACAGTCCAGGTGCTGGACGAGGGGTATCTATGTTGCAAAATCTGCCACCTGAATTAGCACCAGGAGGGGACGGAGATGCAGGGCTGAAGTCTAAGCCTTCACCTCTTTCTGCTGTAACCTGCACCCTTTACCCACCCAACCTTTCACTGTGCATGGATTACAGAACGAGCCCCACAGGGACCTTGACCACGTGGCCATTTTCAGTCCATAGGGCTAATACCACTGGGTACATCTACACATGCATAATAATGCAACACAATAAACTCCAGTGCATATCACACTGGAGTTTATTGCTCCCAGGCACCATGTTTACACGTGTGCCTAGGACCACAGCTTGTTAAGCTGGGTTGGAGAGGACAGGGGTCCCGGGGGGTGAGCCTGCCAGCCCAGGGCTGCTCTGGCCCAGCTCACAGTACTGTGGAGAGGCCGGCTGGGGCACAAGGGTGCTCCTGTGTGGGGCTAGCTGGCAGGCAGCCCCCACAGTGAAGCACCCTCATGCCCAACCAGCCCCACCAGCATCTACACGTGCAGTGCTGTGGAGTAAAAAACTCTGCAGCAGGGTAGTATTTGTACTTACAAGTAATATCCTGCTGCCAAGTTTATTAGTTTACTCCAGCCTAATATAACCCTGCACGTGTAGGCACTGAGACGTCTACTGCAGAGCTAATTAGGCAACTCCACAGTAAATGGCTCGTGTAGACAGTAAATGGCTCGACCACTGTGGATGATACCGTGTTTGACCGATTCAGGTTCATTTTGCAGCAGTGAAGTGGTCAACGTGTGCACCCTTTACAGAACAGATTGAAAGAATAAGTAGAAATTCCCCCTTTTTAGCTGTGAGACTATCCTTTGAGCCTAGATGTTTTGAATTGGGCTACGATATAATTACTAGTCAATCCTCCTCCTTGCTTGACTGAAATACTCCAATTTAGAATTAGAAAGTGCTCTTTAACCTCTTTGCCACTTTGTGTGCCAATCGAGGGTAGCAAACATGACTTCAAACACCAGTGACACCGCTGTCGTTAACTGTGCCGCAACCCAATCAGATTACAGAGCACAAACCTTGCCTCCCTGTAAAATAATTATTTTCAGTGTATTTGTGCATGGGAGCCTTCGGATACAAGAAGATGGGTTTAGTCACGGCTGCTCTATTGATAGCCACACTTATTCAAACAAACACAATTCATGGATTAGACATAGCGGTGCCTGAAACAAGGAACTCGTGTTCTGGGAAAGACGTACACGTTTTGACATTTGATTTAATCAAATTTATAATGAAAACAAATATTTTCAAATGCTTTTGCAATGCAGTCATCTTGGCCTCGGGCCTAAATCACAAAAAGCAGCAAGGAGGGGAAGGAGGATCTGGAACTGAAACACAATTGGACTTAGGCAGGCAAGAGGGTCTACCATCCAGAACCAGTGAATAGCATGAGATGCAGCGTTTCCCTTTCACAAACGAATGGGATTTCATCGAACGTTTGTAGCAAATCTGGCTGCTTTTCTGGCGCTCAGTACAAGACCCAAGCTAGAAGAGACTAGAAAAGCTAACAATTAGTAGCTGAGTTATGGAGCCACATAGCAGCTAAGGATGCAGGCGATGGTACGATGCTGCTGAATTGCTTTGCTCAGGCTACTGCAGGAGGATGCTGATGCCATGTTTTGGGGGGGGGTTGCAGCATATGTGCATTTTTGCACATATTTTATGCAGTGCCCAATAATACTGCATTTTTTCGACCAGCGCAGTGTGTGTGTTTTGCCATCACAGCATCACCGCCTATTGAAGCTTTCCATCCTGTAACAAGCCACGAGAGGGAGCCAGGAGGTCATTTAGTTCCCGGCAAATCCTCAGGAAGGTTTGCAGCTTGTTAAACAAAAGGAAAAAGCAGCCACGGGCGAGAGGCTCTCAGTCCCACATCCTGGTTTTGGAGGGCTGGGCAGCGACCTTTTTTTCTGGGAAGGTTTTTAGCTGAGATAAAGCTGGTCCCTGGGTCACCTTAAACAGCCTTTTGGACGGATGTCATTTGGAGGCGGTCGGCCTGAGGTCTCTGTAGCTGCTAACGCTGGAGTAATTATCAGCATGGCCACGAGATGGTGGTGAAGCTTTACCTGCCGGAGCGCTTTCGCTCAGGTTTTTTTGAAGGCATCTCTCACTATCACAGCGAATCTAAAACCTTTTAGACTCCCGGCAGCTCTCATTGCACTCAAAGCCCCTTTTGGAAAATGCCAGCCCTTAGTTTTCCCTCATCTACTCCCTACAGAAAAATACTAGAGCCCTTCTTCTGTTGCAAAGAAGTCAGAAGTCAGAAAGTCCACAGCAGGGCAGAAGGTTTTTAACACTCTGGATTCCTATTTGCAATGTCTGGGTTTCTCTTGTGAAGTGGTTTCTCTTGTGAATCCCGTTTGCACACCTATCAGTGCTAATGCAGTATGGCAGCCCACCAACGGCACCCCTGAAAGGATCTCAAGGCATCCCAGGCTGCCGTGGCACCCTGCTGAGAGTCGCTGGTCTACCACATAAGGCAACATCCGAGGTGCTCTACATAGCACTGCCCTTTGTTCCCTCTTTGCTTGCTTGGCTGCTTTTGTCACCCTCTCCTCCCCTCTGCAAGCCTACAAGCCCATGGCCGGCAAACTGAGTATTTCAATCGCTCCATGCGGCGAACAGAGCACTCAGCTATTTATGACGCGGTTGGGACGAACCGTCTCCATATGTGCATTCAGTCAACATAAATAATGCTGCTGCAGCAGCCTCAGAAAATACAATAATGCCGCGAACCGTGAATAACAGGAAATCAAATGCTTTCTTTTGCCCAAATATTTATCTGGAGTCCACGGCCAGTTCCAGCGCTGTTAGCCTTGTCGGTGCTGGAGCCCTGTCCGCTGGCAAGGTGCTAGAGAGCTGCTTCGGTCTTCCCCAGCCATTCGAGCCCTGAGCTCTCCCTGCGGAAGGGACACTTCAACCAGCCTCGCCACCACTTTGAAAATACACAGATGAGGCAAAATGACCAATTTGCCAGTGAAGCCGCAGGGAAGCAGCACCGCTGGCCCTGTTGCTAACAACGCAGGAGGCTCCTTTCTTTCTGCAATGACACGTGTCCAGCAGTTCTGGCACTTAGGGATAAACTGAGATCATTTCTAAATGTGCTGCATTATAGCTGGATATGAAAGTCTCCATATGCTGCTTGGTTACCCATCTAGGTGCTCCGGAGCAGGGGGTACTTTGGACCCCAGGCATCAGACCCGTGGGGCAATGGGGAGCCCCTGGGGGAGACGGGCTTTACCTGCAGATTGGAATCCTGCACCAGCTGGAGCTGCTCCTTGATGACGTGCAGCTCCTCCTGCTGCGTCTTGATGTCCGCTTGCAAAATGCGCGTCCGTTCTTCCAGCTGCTCCTTCAGCTGATGCATCATCCCCAGCTGCGCCGGGAAGTGGTACACGGGCTGCGGGGGACAGAAAGCGCCTGGCCATGAGCCCCTGTGCTCTCCTTACAAATGCTGCTGCTGGCTGCCCAAATGCCAGTGCTCACACTTTTCAGAGCATGGGAAGCGTCCAGTGCAGGAGAGATGGCTGCGCTACCAAACACCACTCAGGAGACTTGACCTGGATGCCCTCATTCATTATCAGACCTGGCGATTTGTTCCCCTTTTGTGTTTCCTGCT